AGAGGGAGAGGGAGAAGCAGGCTCCCCGCTGAGCAGGGAGCCTGATGCGGGGCTCGAGCCCAGGACCCTGGGATCATGACCTGAGCCAAAGGCAGATACTTCACCGAGCCACCCAGGCATCCCAAACATTGCCTTTTAATTATAAAAATAGTATAACCTCATTACAAAAATTTTAGAAAATAGAAAAAAGTTCCCTACAATTCTAGCATTCTAATACAACCATCATTATTACCTTATTATTTCCCTTTTCCCCTCTCTGTCTTTATTTTTTGTTAATTATGCTTCCAAAGGGGAGTAACTCCCCTAAGCCTCACTTGCCCCGTCTGTGAGTTAAGGGATAGGACCAGGAGGGGTCTGAGGGCTCTTGAGCCTTGAGCCTTGAGAGTGCTTAGTTCTAGCCTGAGCCTGTAACATTGCCATTACAAAAGTGGAACTTGTTTACAGGACCCCTGTGGGAAGTAAGGGTCACAAGCCTTTGGAGAGCTGAGTGAAGGTGCCTTAATGACATGTTTCTTGGGAGCAGGACGTGCAGTTTACCACTGTTTCCCCACTACGCTGCTGGAACTGGCACATGATTGGTGTTCAACAAGTATCTTTTGATAAAGAAAGGTATCTGTAGTGAAATTTTGTATTGTGATAGTTCACATTGTTAGAACAGGAAAACCAGTAGAGGGAACTTGGAAAGGGCATTTGCTTTATGCACTTTCTTTTCTTCCCAAAGTTTTAAGAGCAGTTTAAATGAGTTGAGGAATGGATCCAGTCCAAGCAATGGCCCTAAATTGGTTTTCTGGACCACAGTGGCTAGACTGCAGCAAGTGTAAGTGGTCCAGGCCTCAATGTGGTGCTGGTTGCTCGCTCTCTCCATGGCTGGACCACCCTGGCCTGACTGGCAGAGGGCTGTTAAGAACCTCTGAGGGCTTCCATCTCCATCGTTGTGAAATAAGGAAGGGACTGGACAAGAACCCCCCACCCCCAAATTCTTTTTATCTAAAAATCACAACTCTAAAAAAAGTTGAAATCATTCATTGTAATAGCAAAAATATAGATGCTGTTACCTTCTGCCCCCACATTTCCTGAACACTGTGTGCCAGGTGCTGAGAATACACAGATGAATGAGTTACAGGCCACAGCCTCAAGGAGCTCATTCTCTTACCCAAGACGCAGACTTTTGTGTGGTTAGATCTGAATCAGGGCTGTGAGGGCTGTACTTGGAAACATTAGCGTCTCTCAAGTGCCCTTGCATTTCCTGGAGCTCTGCTAGGAAACCAGGGCCAGAGAAATGAGGGAGATGTGGTTCCTGCCCCCAGGGAGCTTACAGAGTGTGGGAAGAGAGGCCGATTGTACCAGAGCACAGGGAGGTCCCTACGGAGAAGCCAGTCTAGGTGGCTAGCATGCTAAGAGCTGAGGCTGGGAGCAGGAGGGGCCCAGCCTGAAGCAGAGCAGCTGGAGGGGCTAAAACCTGATCGGGTAAAGCAAAGGATGACAATGTAATGCTGGGAGGTGCAGATGAGGTTGGTGAAGAAAGGCCAAAAAGATAGCCTGGGGTCAACTTATAAAAGGCCTCAAATGCAGAATTAAGGAGCCTGGACATTTTGCAAACAGCAAAGAGCAATTTAAAGGTGTGGAAGCAGGGGTTGCCTTAAGATTTGTATTGCTGAAGCCAGGACTGTTAGCAGTGAGGATGGATCAGAGCAGTGCAGAGATGCAGATAGGAGTGAGTGCTGTCCTGTGGGCCACGCCTGGGAGGGCCTGCAGAGGCCCCTGCCACAGACGCAGTCTGGGAGAGTGCAGGGAGGCCAGGACTGAATATTGCTTTCCTTTTTGAGCAGGTTGCTAGGAGGTGAAACTTTGCCCTTTAGGGCTGTGGTCACTGCAGAGCTCTGTCTCCATGGTGGGTTGTGTTTTCCACTGACAGATAATGAAATGTATGGAAGGTGGGGGTGGGGCTCTGGGTTGGTGTCTTCACCTTGAAGGCATTAGCCTGTCTTATATTTGAATCATGATCTTGGGCTCCAGAGCCTTTCCAGCCTCCATGGAGCTTTCTCCACCCAGGGAGACAACTTGATGAGTCTGTGCACATGACCATGGACCTCTCATTTCACAGAACTTACATTTAAAATTTGGGACAATCATTTTCATTATTAACATTTTTGTAATCCCCTCCCTTTTTAAGTTATTAGACTGGTTTTATTGATTTTGTTTTGTTTTTAATTTAACTGGTTTGGAGATTTGCTGTCAATGAATCTCCCAGCACTTTCCCAATTGTTACTGTTTTGAGATTATTTGAAATCAACATTAGGACAAGGAAGGTATCTTTAATTGATTATGTAATTTTTCTCCTTTGAGAGTATCTGCCAGCTAGAGAGTTGATAGACGATAAGAAAAAAGGAAACAAGAGAATAATGTGCCCTTGAAATGCTAATTATTTTGCTTCTCTATTTGTAGGCGAGCGATACGTAATGACGTTTTTGAACGTGTTAAATTTTGGCGATCAGGGTAAGATGAAAATTCTGTAGTGAATACCATTAGTAGATACTTTCTAATATTTTTCTCAGCAGTGTGATACATTTAGTGAAAAATACGCCTGATGATTCTAAAAGATGAAGACTGTAATAAAATGATTCCTGAAGATTGAAAATTGCAGGTCTCTGCAAATATCTACAGTGTTCTGACTACGCCCTCTCATGTGACTCGGGTGGCAGGTTCTCTTTTGAGTTCCCCTGGTTTCTGCAGAGCTTTGGTGCCCATTGCAGGGTTGAGAGAAGAGGGAGCTTCGTCATCACAATCACAGATCCGCCCTGTGTTTGTGCAGCTAGATAGGTCTCAGTATTTTCTTCTTATTTATTTATTTAAGATTTTTTAAAATTTATTTATTTGAGAGCACAAGCGGTGGCTGGGCAGAGGGAAAGGGAGGGAGAGAGAGAATCCTCAAGCAGACTCAATCTGAGCACAGGGTTGATCCCAGGACCCTCAGATTATGACCTGAGCAGAAGTCAGATGCTTAACCAACTGAGCCACCCAGGAGCCCCTCTTCATATTTATTTTTAACTGTAATCCTGCAGTAGAGGAAAGAAAACTTTCAAAAATCAACTTGGTATTAATGGTTTTTTTTAAGATTTAGTTATTTATTTGAGAGAGAGAGTGAGGGGAGGGGCAGAGGGAGAGAATCTTCAAGCTAACTACCTGCTGAGCATGGAGCCCGATGTAGGGCTCGATCCCAGGACCCTGAGATCATGACCTGAGCCGAAACTAAGAGTTGGACACTCAACTGACTGAGCCACCCAGGTGCCCGGCATTAATGATTTTTTTTTTTTTTTAAAGATTTTATTTATTTGACAGAGATAGAGAGAAGGAGAGCACAAGCAGGTGGAGTAGCAGGCAGAGGGAGAGGGAGAAGCAGGCTACCCGCTGAGGAAGGAGCCCGATGTGGGACTCGATCCCAGGACCCTGGGATCATGACC